GCCATAGAATAGGCCAGTGTAACGACCACGTGAGAGAAAGGCAACGATTTGAGGCTATGGACACCGGGGGTGATAAAAAGTTCACCTCACAATTTAATTCAGTACGTATTGTTTCTGCGGGTGTTCCAGATAAGTGATGGTTACAACCCGTCACTAGGTTACCGGCGTACTTGTGAGAATCTGTTGCACACGAGGAGAGAAATAGGAAAGCATTACACTCCGAGGTACACTGTTGACAATCAGCGTTGGCGAAGAGTACCGGCCATTCACATTTATGAGTTGCGTGTGGGTGATGGAACAACTTACGACTTGTCTGTCCCAGCTGTCTTCACCGCTTGCCCCGATAATGGGCTGCAGTAATTGTCTCTTTTTAATGTTAACAAAAGCATCGGTTGAGTGTATGAGCCTTGACTTTCAGATCCGAATCTGCTATAAAGTGGTATCTTCCGCGGAACAAGACAGACGGCACGCAAGTTAGTGAGAGCCTTGTTCCGACGGAATACCATTTGCTTTTAAGAAACACTGTTTGAAACAACCTCAAAAAAACGACAATTCAGGCATTTTGTCCAGGTTTTGTTAAGGCCTTTTCGGCACGGGTTTTATCCAGGGCACACGTTATTTTACTGACGGGAACAAATACTGGTCCGCTAAGAATCACGCAATTGTCTTGAAGTAGTAAGGATAACAAGAGATCGGAGCCACGTGCTTCACCTGACATCATTTGCCAATCGTTATTATTTACTTTCTTTCGTGCCAGGCGGAGCACTATAGTGCAGTCAATAGTAGTGATGAATACGGTTGGTTGGTTTAACGAGTCAACAAATCACAACTGAATATTCAAGGTCGCTGCAAGGAGAACCTATCTCTGAGTTCTCAACTTCCGTCGCACTGATCACTCACGTAGTTCTGATCTCTGCTTGTTTTCCTCTGTAACATGCATAATTTTTTTCTTTCGTAGCATTTTAAGTAGCAGAGAAAAGAGTTTATCAGTGCTGATGTAGACTTTCAACATGAACACAGGATGACGCCCAACTTCGAACAGTCAGATTGCGGGCTGAAGGATGATGGAGTCACACTCGAATTTAGTAGTATGCTTGAAAGTGGTGTTTAACAGGAGGGGTTTAACAGCTGTACGTGTAATTCCGAACTTTAACGAGGTGTTCTCTAACGCAATTATAGACTTAAAACGTTTCCTTGTTCATGTGCCTTGCGACAAAAATCAATGGCCTTCAGATGTTTGCTACCACGAAATTTCAGCTGAGTGAAGATCACAAGGTTGAACAAATAGAAGCTAGCTTTCATCTTGTCGAGAACCTAACCGCAAATAGTGGAGAAAATAGCCCAAAACGATTCTTCGATCATCTCGGAGAAGATTGTCAAGAAGTCCAATTTTATTTTGCTATACGCACGCTGACAAAATATATCGTTGGTAATTGAAACGACTCCTACTTCAGCTTTAATCTTGGAGGTCCCCACTTTTGTTGTGTTTATCTTTCAGTGTTGCAAGCGACGTGGTAAGCTTGCTAACGGTGCGGAAAAAAGTATCCAAATTCGAACGTCGTTGAAATACTAAAGCAAGAAGTGTAAGCTACATTGCTGTCATACCATGTAATAATGACTGTGTATCTAGTCTTTTGATGAATCTGCCCTTGGTAACGACTATTCTTGCTTCGTTTTTCGGAGTCAGCCGCAGAAATACATTCGCTCGATGTATTCCTTGCCAACCGGGATGCAATGATACACCAGTGCCAGTATTTGGAAAAATGCCTAGAGCGGATGGAAATGGAACATCAAAAGGACCTAGATGAGTTGACGAGGCAGAACCTGGAAGATCGGGCTCTCCTAAAAAAGAATGCGATGAAACGCCTCGAAGAAGTAATAACAAGCTGTTTTCATAGATCCAAAGCGTTTGCCTATCGATAGCAAGTTCATCAATATTATAAACTATGATATTTTTCCCTAATTTTGAAAATACTTACTTACTTTATGAATCCAATAAAGCACAAGAGTAAACAAACAAACCACATGGTAGGATTTGGTTCACGGAACTATACCAACTGAATCACGTAAAACCACATGGTAGGATTTGGTTCACGGAACTATACCAACTGGGCAAATCACGTAAAAACAGAAAAGGGCCGCATGAGGACACAGCCAATCCACGGAGTGAGGTGACTTTGCCTTTGTTGACAAAGTATGAATCCCAGATGTCAGTAAAAAATTTTCACTTTTCACAAATGCGCCACTAGAAAAGGACAGTAATGCACGAGTATGCTCATACCGCAGGTTTTCTCACCTATCGTCTCAAACCATCTTCAGTGTTTCTCACAGCAGATGTCCAAGTTTAAGTCAACAGCAATTTGTTTGAACAGATAACACTTCGGCAAGGAGAAGCCAATTTGATGCAGTGCTAGATAACATAATAATGGGGCATCTAAGAGATGCTAACCTTGGGGAACTGATCCAAGCAACAGAACACCGGACATGCTGACGGCACTGTCATTGTTACCGAATCGTTTGAACAGGCATACTGGCAGTTCGAAAAAATGAACAGCTATCACGCTAACATTGAATTTACAACTAGACAAGAAATCCAATCAGCAACGCACTTCTGTGATATACAGGAGCTGCACTTGGTGTTTCTCAAGGATGAATAGACGGGTTATTACGTTAAGCAAACAACGAATGATTGGTTGTTCGCACAATATTCACTAAAGCGCGACGAATTTCTTCTGAGTGGTAGCTAGATGAGAACGTTAGGTGTAGTTTTGAAAAACCGCCACCCTCCGAAATTTACCCTCATGTGCCCGATATGCACGTTACAATTTTCATTTGGTTATCTCTCACGATGTTCTGATGGATGAATTGAACACAGACTGATTAAAGGAATGGAGAACACAGTCTCAAAGGAGTTCAACAATGTGAAACTGATATGCGCCCACCCACCGGATTGCTGTTTGTGATGCGTCGTAACCTGACGGCGCAGTGACTGTTTACTACGAATCTTCAGTCATTGGACGGATTCAGTCAAATCTTTGTACACGATTGGGTTTTGTGACTAATCCCGCCGTACTTTCGTGAAATTTCTCTCTCATATGACCTTGAATGCGTCTCTCTTGTGAACGGTGAATGTTGATTCTCACGCCCTCGTGTTATGCTCAAATGGTGCCATCTTGTGTCCCAAACCCTGGTGCGTTTGATTTGTCAGACGCCCTCATCCTAAAGCCAAGCAGTTAAACCTCACTGTCTCTTGTCAGGTTCTTGCAGATCCGTCTGGGTACTTAACCACAGTAAAAAGTCACGTGATTCATGTTCTAGATCCGCGTATACTTCGGAACTTAAATAACATCAGAAACTACTTAATGATTTAGGCAATGCCCAGGTGCAAGCAGCGTGTACAATGTAGAAATTAATTGCTGCTTGTTTCAACTGCTTTGTGCTCAAAACACGTAGATTGCGAGTTTTTTTGGGAATACAGGTTACTAGCTTGCAAACTGTACGGTTGGACAGTAAATACATTTCGGTAAACTTTCGAAAAAATAAAATTTAGTGGATGAATACCGCAATTTCAAAAACAAGGTACAGTATGAAGAAGTTACCTCACTTCCCTATGGGGTGGGAAACTGTCGGCGAGTAGTATTTGACCGGGAGTACTTGCAGTAACTCCCTAAGGTGGATCATCCTTAGGTTTCTTCCGTGCGCTGCGTTTCTAAACATGAACGAACTGAAAAGAGGATAGAAGTGTAACTTCATTAGCCACGGGAAATCTTGGAGTGTCTTACAAGGTCTTGTGTTCTAGTTTTCTGGATTGATGTTTCTGAAATGAAATGAATTACACCGAATCGCCCGAGAATTATTAGGGCGGATAATAAATTTTCACACAGTGCCTAATGAAAAGCCGAACCCAGAAATGGGGAGAGTGACTGACGACCCGATGGGTCTCAGTAAATTTGACAACATTAGGAAGTGCTTGGTCCGCGGCTGGTCAAACATATCAGTCAGTCGTATTTGCCTATAACTTGAGTGATGATGAATTTCTTAAAGTGTGTGAATGTTACAGCGAGACCATGTCAGATTGACAACACCTGCTGTCAGATTACAAGTTATTGTTTAACGATAGTGGCTACTTGAGGCAATTTAAGTAGTTGAGAATGTACAGAAACATCAATCGGAGCTGTGCCCTCGCGCCCCACAGGTGGCATCGGAATTCCGCAACGACGCATACGACCGATTGAAACCAGTTTTCAGAGAATTGCTGCAAGAAAACATATCGATTGACGAGGGTTTGGTCCAACTTACTGGTGCAATCCAGAGTCTAACGAAGGAAAATGCAGAGTTGGGTGTAACTCATCGGAATTTACAGCGCGAAAGAAGACAACTTGGAAACGAGCATATCAAACTGGCCACGCATAACTCTGCTGTGATTAAAGTAAGTTAAGTTTACTAAAATTATGCTTAAATTCGTCTGTTTTCTGCAAAATGTTGAAAGTGATCAGTCTGTGTAGTCTGTGACTGGTAAGTATGAGTGACTAGATCTGTTTATAGAAATACCCAATTTGGAAAGTTTCTGGTGACAGAATTCTGTTTATCATGTTGAAAGATGACCGGTACCGGTACAGGTGTTTCCCACACGTTTATCACCTGTTTGCTTTTCTCTCCATAGTCAACGCCTCATAAAACGTGTGCATCATTTTTCCCTCATGTCATTATTTTTTGCATGATAGAAGAGAGCAACCATTATTTGGCAGAAAGATAGGACGATTGCACTTGCATGGAAAAAACCAACCGTCCTATATTTTTCTGTGACTCGCTCAGTCTGAGATGTCTAGCTCTCGTGTAAGCCTTCATATTGATTTCTTGGTTTAGCTCATGCCCTGAAATTTTTTCAACAAGGGAGGTTCCCAGGGGCTAGTCCCAACTTCTAGAAGATTCTCGTATAGGAACTCACGTTTGGAAACGCTCGCCAAAGAGGAAAATATAGTTAGTTCTGGAAAGCAACCTGGTCTTACTTAGTGGGACTCATCGCAAAGGTTGAACATAATCCGGCTTAAATCCCCTACCCTCGACTGTATAGTTGAGTGGCCAGTTATCGCGCTTACGTAACTGCGTTGAATAACATTTAACTGTTTTGAAGCACCCTCTCCCTGACAAACTTCCACGTATGAGCTATACTAAAACATTAGCCTGATCTTAGTTTTATATTAGTTTGATCCATATTCACTCTGCGTAAGTGCGAACGCAAAGCAAGCGCTCATACAAGCACATGTGTGACCGATCCTGACGGATACATCTCAGTTAGAATGAAGCGTTTTTCAAAACCTACTACGCTCGGCTCTATAAGTGCCTAATTCAATTTTTGGATTTTACCGCGAACATACAGTACTCTATCTTTTTAGGAACCGGTCAACCAAAACGACTGAAATAGGACGATATAGCGTTTCCCCTATTCCTACAAACTGCAGCCCTACTGCTCGTGAAGTCCTTTAGTGATGGATCAGAAAAGAAGCACTTTATTGAGAAACGCTCACGCCAGATACTGACAGATGGTCGACCTAAAGTGTGACTCGGTTAAGTCATCTAATTTTAAACCAAAAGCCCATGGGATTGCCGTTCACGGTCGGACACAATCCTACATTAGCCCTTCGAGAAACTGTTGGATGGCTAGTTGAGTTCACGGATGACTGCTACGCTGGACTTTTCTGCGCTCTCTGAAGAGGTAGATGCTGTGAATCTTAGTTGGCCGACGTAGGGCAAATAGGTATCCAGTGAATACGGAGTGTGGGGACATCTTCAGGTGTAAGACATCTCTGCAAAAGAGATTATCAGGTGCTGATCTAGCACCGTAGGAAGAAGGTTAAGAGCTTGAAGAATGTAAACAAGTTCGGTTGATGAAATTTTAGTGAGCGCTGACACAGCATTGACTGAATTCTTTTTACACATCCTGAAGAATATTGCTTACTAGTTTCTTTAATCTGAGTTGAAACTCTATGGATAATACAGCTGCCAAAGAGTACTTACCGTAAAGATGAAACATTGAACACTCAACAACAAACCACCTTTGCTCATTCTTCTTCTTTTTCTTACTGATATTATTAATGTTTCTGCCTCCTTCCACTCAGCTTACCCACTTGCTTGTTGTTCATCAAAATCGTTTGGACAGTATGTCCCAGGAGCAAATATCTGACTGTTTGTCAGCTTTGGATTCGCTGAAAGGTCAGTGTACGGAGCTGGAAAGGCAGGAGGCCAGAGCTGCGGAATCTCTCGAGGTGTGTTGTATGAAACCGAGCTTGCAATTACTATGATTATTTCAAGATTTTACCATTGATGCAAGCAGGCAGTGAACAGTCCTCAGTAATTCGTTTGTGACTAAATCAATCCCTCATTCCAAAACCCCCACCATTCTTCCCTTGCTTTTTCCAGCGAACAAAGGATGGTTGCGAATTGAAGGGAAAACAAATTGAAATGTTGCGCAAACTATCGGAAGCTCATATCAGTTGGACGGCTGACACAGCGAAGGCCTTAAGCAAAGCAACTGAACTAATTCAAAACTTTATGTGCTGTTCAACCCCTGAGGAGACCAGCATTGAGGAGACTGCAAAGGTAATCGAAGGTATCGTATATCATCTTCGTCCGTCGTTAATCGCATTACCGAAGGAGGACAACGCTGCGATTTTGGATTTTTCTTGGGAAGATGATAAGTTAGAGGAGAGCTTGTCCGTCTCGGAAGCAGACAAAAATGATGTGGTTTCCAGCGATGAGGACAAATCAGAGGCTAGCGGAATAAGTGAACCACATGGTTGGCAAATCGATGATACTATTGAGGTTTCGGAACCGGAGCCGGCATCTGACGAGGAACTAACACCAGCGCGTAGTAGTACTTCAGCGAAGCCCTTGGACACAAAGGATAATGTTGGTCTTCAACACAGGTTCATGTACCTTGATCAGATTGGGACAAATTTGCCGCTGTTACAACTCAATGACTATTGTCCATCATCAAAAGAATGGCAGGAACTTCTAAGTACGTTGGGAATATGAGATATTTTTAATGAACTTAAATTTCTAGTTGACAGTTTATAATAGAACCAAAAGTGGTCTTGCTACTCGTATTAACGTACTACTCGTAAAGTCGCTGAGAACTTTTCTGTGAAGAGCATCGAACCAAAAGTGGCCTTGCTACTCGTATTAACGTACTACTCGTAAAGTCGCTGAGAACTTTTCTGCTGAAGAGCATCATAAACGAGAGATTCAGCTGGGTTCCTGGCGAGGCCTCCAGAAAAACCAAATTGGTATACAAACGAGTGTATTTCGCTAGTCTTGGTAATGATATTAGCACAAAAAGATCAAGGAACTTGTTTTTAACTGTTGCTTGATTTTACAGGTTCCTCACGTTATTCTTCAACGAGTATCCCGGGATTATACTTGCAGAAAGGCGACCCATTCGTTGAGTTAATCCTTGTGATTTGCATCCTTGCGGGTCACTGGGTTTCACAACACAAACTCTGCTGGTCCCTCACTGCATCATGCTGCATCATGCCAGAGCTTTGGGACATATTTAATCAGAGTACAAGTTATGGGCTTCTACATTTTATGAGGCCGAATGAAGGTGTCTCTGTCTGGTCCTGTTTGTGCTGATCTTATTAAGGAAATAAACGGAGATGCTAGATTTGCGTGATAGTTGAGTGTCCACAGATCATCACAGTTTATGGAAGAAAGCTCTCGTGACTTTTTGTCTTTCATGTTGTTTTTAGGTAGTTGCATCTGGCTGTAGTTTATCTGTCTCATAGTGGGCAACAAGTGAGTTTGCGCACGTGATTACGAGGGAAAGTTTTTCGGAAACATTTGTCGACCCGCGTAAAGTCACTTTGCCGATTTTCGATGACCATTTTCGTCACCGGCTATGTTATCTTCTTTCGATCAGTTTGGATAGTTATCCTCAAATACCCTGGAAGGATCGCACATGGCACAGCAATAAAGAAAATTTTATTGACTGAAAAAAGTAGACGTGTCGTTAGTGAAATGCACTCATTTGCAAACTAATTTGGTTTGTCGAGAGACTGACTTGGAACCCAGATGAATCTCCCGGCTTTGATGTTTCCTGGCTACTGAACATGCAGCACCAGGCCGCCTCATGTTTCAGTTGCTACGATATTTGAAATACCAGATCAGTTTACAAATGAGTATATTCCGCCAATTTTGTGCAATTTGATTTCAAGTAGAACATAAGGTTGACGGAAACTCGAGGACTGCGCCTACCTGATGAGCCCCCAAGAAGGGCGAAACCGGTCGTGATCTGTCGAGGAGTTTTCAGCAACCTTATGAGTAGTGCGTTACAAAAACAGACGTGTCGTTGTTTGACATGGAACGAACAGAAGAATGGCTTCAAATGCTAAACCTATGAACAGATAAATGCTCACTCAAATCCTGAATTCGGAAGCAACCGTGTCACTTACAAGCTATTGTTTCTACGTCCAAGTTATAAAAAATCAGGTCAAGTACATTCCTCAGTAGCTTCATGATGCTTTTAAGACGGAACAAGCGTGAGTGTGGGCCTGAATATAAAATCTGTACTGTAGCATAGTTAGTACTATGTTGCCTCGCGGCGGTATCGTTCCAGCATTTCAGTGGAAACTTACTTAGAGCTTCATGGGATGCTGGCATTAAGTGTTCAGATGCTTCTTCGAAGGTCTAGTTTAGCTGATTTTTCCGTGCATACCACAGGAAAGTACCAGGTTTTATCTTGACGCAACAACCTAGTATGCTTTTTCACTTTTAGAAATCACGTCCAGCTTAGAAGTTGCTTCCTCCTAAAAACCATACTGAAAATCCTACAGACCTAAGCGACTGCCAGCTGTTGGAGAAGCTACCACACAGATATCCACGTTTTGCCACGCAGCAGAAAGCAGCAGTCCACTAATGGAGTTCGTGTATTTCCATCCAGTTAACGGCAAAATGACTCCTCATGTAGCGCCAAGATACGTGCAATTTGGGCAAAGATTATGAATTAATTTTACAACGGAGTGTTCTCTGCGTTTATACTCGCATCTTTTAACTGCGGCCTGTTTTGATAAAGTCAGGATGTAATCACAGGAACTAATCATCACAACAGTTACTACTTAACGGTCTGTTTTGTGGAATTTGTGTTCTATCAGAAATTTTCTTAATAATCTACTAAAAACTGCGACGAGATGTGAGAGCAATTGATCCGAAGCTTTACAGAATTAGAGTAGACTAATATCAAGATATATTAGAGAAATCAGTCTTCCGACTTCATATTTGAGGTAGCCCATCCCAATACCTAAGTTGTAACATACGAGGAACCTTAATTTCGACGGTAGGTTAACCTCGAAGGAGTCGCTCTTGCAGGCAGAAGGTTTGAACACCATCTTCCAGGAATAATAAAGCTTCAGCCAAATAAATGCTTTGACGGAATCTGGACACGGACCTACCAATTTCGCTCCATTGGTTGTTCCGTTTTATCACTTTAATTCTCTCCGATGCTATGCTACCACCCTTTCATTGTTTCTGTTGATAGACTGTTTTGTGAAACATCTTCCTGGAAGAGAAAAGCTTGCGGATGATGTGACCCCAGATAAGGATGAAAACGGCTGTTTGCTTCCCGGCGACCTGTATTTGATCCCTCCACCCGGGGCAACTATTCCAACCGCAAAAGAACAAACACATATGTTGAAACGATACGAAGTTGAAAAGCTGTTTGCACCTTTGGCGGAACAGAGTGTGGTCAGAAAGTACGTCAAATTATCCCGTTTTGGGCAGTGGATTCGTTACTTTGCCCAAAGCTCACTAGGTTAAGTTGTTTTGAGTAGTGTAGCTGCCCCCAACAAAGCACTGTTTCGGTAAAGCACTGTTGAGGAACTTCTAAAAACTGTCATTCATAATCAGTGGTGATTTTTGGTACAGTTTACGTCCAATTGGCAGTCTGTGAATTCCACTTACAGGGTGTTGGATCAGCCCGTTTTAATTTTATGGTAACTCAACCGACGGAGGCCACCTTCAAGCACAAAGGGATATTTGGTTATAATGTTTCTATCATCGACTCCGGAAGCCGCACGAAATCTTGGCAAGAATTGCTAAAAAATGAAGGTTTCCGGAGAGAGAAATCCAGTTTACACTCTTTTGATATGTAGCGGTACTCCTTTAATATGGGAAATACCAGTAGTAATAACTTGACAGCGTCCACTCTCATCTGCCATATGTGACATTTTACCAGTTGTATCGTCCGCTGTGACACTGGTGAATTTCTTATGCAATGGCACACGTCCGCAACACCCTTTCCATCTATTAGTCTTTATCCCAAATCCCCATTCCTGTTATTACTGAGAGCAACCTTCCTGCAGCTATAAGAGCCCTTATCGCTCGCAGTGTACCTTGAGAGTGAAGAACAACTTTCATACTCTTCTCCAGGATAAGCCACCGGTTTATCCTGTTTTTATTACGATGTAGTAAAACAGTGAGACCTCGGCTCGGAGATGTGACAACATGTTTGTCTTGGACAAATGTCACATTAGATTGACATAGCAGAGTTTTTATGGTCACGATTGTATCACCAATGTTCAGACGGAGTAAAACCCACAGACCACGGAGGTAAAGGCACTGGGATCTGTGACAATTCAGGGCGTTTGTTTGTGGTTTACCTTGGACAAATGTCACATTAGATTGACATAACAGAGTTGTTATTGTCACGATTGTATCACCAATGTTCAGACAGAGTAAAACCCACAGAACACGGAGGTAAAGGCACTGGGATCTGTAAGGATTCAGGGCGTTTGTTTGTGGCATAGAGACGGAGGACAAGTCTTATAACAAGGTTTTATTTTTCAGTTCATTGCAGAGGTGGCTTGAAAGGCTGACTCATCTATTGGGTCAGACTTTTGTGAAGTACTGAAATCCGCCACCACATCCATTACACGCTTCTCAAGGGCATGGGTACAAATGAAACAGACGAGTGAGGAGGGGTGGACGAGGACCCGCTGAGCCGGAAATTGCTGTCTTGGACTTCCTCTGTAACGGGTTGGCTGAAATTGCCACGTGAGATCGGAGGACAGGAATTTCCATAATGTTGCGCTTACGGAGAGAATAAACAAGCTGTCGGTCCATCTGGAAACATTGAGATGCAAATTGGCCAATTGTCACGACTGTCAGTCTTTTGTTTTGCTTGGCTTGCAAATACGGATGTTCACCAGTTTGTCGTTGAGCTGGGCTAAGCAATCAGCTTACAAACGCCTCCCCAAACGAGGCGGCACTGCCCAGGCCTCGTTGGGACTCCGAACGGTGTTTGGATCGCCAGAGTATCTGGGCACGTAGGTTTCACGTCTACCGGTCCGGCGGTGCGGTATGTCACGACATTCTGCCAGTAGATGGGCACTTAACAGTTCGGGCACGAGCGGCTGAACGGCAATCAGACAGGATATAGGCCACCACACTACATGGTCATTTACTGAATGGCTCCGCGGGTGACGATCTCTAACGTGGCAGTTTCACTCTTCTTGTGAAATTATTCTTCCCCTGAGACATTTGTAGATAGTTGGTAGTTTGATGAGATCTGGACTGAAGGGCTGTTTCATCTTTATTGGGATTCATCAGTAGTGCGCAACTAACAAAATCTTGAGGAGTTTAGAACGCGAGGATCCGCTTATCCGCTCGTGGTCGAACGGTTGAATGCTAGTCATGATATTGCGATTTCAGTACTCCCTGGCGGGTTTGTGAGATGCAAACTATTGTCGATTTCCAATAAGGATGAAACAGCCGTACAGTGCTTCTCGGCTTTGCAGCACAAATTGGCTTCACTGACAACGAAATCTCGTCCGAAATCTCGTCATTATACCACTGGGAGGTCTAGACTTCGTTTCAAATGGCTTTGAAAGACACTCCGTGAAAGAGTCTTCCGATAGGTTCTGTACTTTTCCCAGCCGATCACAAACGTCAAGACCTATGAAATGTTGTTCTGTTCATCCTCGATGAGGTTTACCTCACCGACAATCACCGTAAATCATCCGCTAAACAGAATACCAAAACCCGAAATCAATAGAAAGAAGATAAAGGATAAAAAGATGCTTCTCGTAGGATTCAAAAAATGTTCAAGTGCAGCCCTATTTAAGGAGAACCTTACACAATACGTCTGAGTTGCCTGTTTCGAAAGCCTTTTTAAAGTTCATGAAGAGTACATTCGTTGACCAAAGATTCCTGTAAACCTTCTACTGCAACTGTCGCAGAGCGCTTATTGGATCTACCATGTTCCGTGCAGCACGAGATCCACATTGTGTTTTCTGCGACATATGCTTGGATACCTTCAGCAGTCAAGCATTTACGTCAAAACCTCTGTAACCGATTCTAATTTCCTTATAAAAGGCAAACTAACCGCATCTTTAAATTTCCGTGGTACTCTCGCTTTCTGTTAGATGATGTTGATCATTTGTAGGGCGCTCAGTGAGCTCTGCCCATCATAAGTAAAGAATTCCACCGCACGCATGCCTCTCTAGCTAGTCCGCGAATGCATGCGTCCCCGTTTCATTCCTCCTGTGATTTATGGCAAATGCAATGAACGTCTCACTTTTTACCGAGGTAGTCACTCCAGTATTACCCACCCAACGGCTGTGTATCGGTTCAGTTTTATGTTCAAGTGTTTGAGTTTAAAGATTAGCTATTTTTGCGATCGATGTGGGCTGTATTCTGAAAGATCTTAGACAGGCCATATCCGCCGTTCATAAGAGATTGCCATTGAACATCGAATTCTTCACTCGATTTATTTCATTTTCACCATCCATCCAGCATGCTTCCAAATCAGGCTTGTTCAGATATCTTTGACTCTCTGTTTCTTTGCATGACTACCCAAATCGGTAATAGTGCTCGAACGCGCCGCTCTGATATGCGTGATGACCACACTAAAGAATCTGACTGTCTTCAGAAGAAAGCAAATCCTCAATAAGACTCCTATTTATGAAGATTGGTCAAATACGAGTTGCCTTTCAACATTTTCTTTGAGAAAAAACCATTTTTGCGAGTACTATTCTTTGCGATTCTGAAAGACCTGTTTTCATCGAAATTCAGCAAAGCAGTCTTTACGGAACTGTGTAGACAACTATCTTTCCTCGTCTGTATTTGCTTAAGGAACGGGAGCATGGTTGTTTTCGTGGAACGTTGTAGTAAGAGAAAATACGGGATGGTTGGAATAACAACATCGAAAGCGGAAGTAATTCAGAGAATAAAATGAAAATTCACTTGTAAATAAACTTTTCGACAGAAACACCAACAATCAAAGGCGCCGGTGAAAAGCGCCAGTTCACACCCGTTGCTACAAGCGGCGCAGCTCCAGTAAGAATACCCAGGGAACCTACAGAGCAGTGCCACACATTCGTTTAAAGGGTAATGCCAGTCTACCCGTTTGTAGAATACACTGTCCTGATTACTTGACTCAGACTGCACTCTACCAGGCTAGTATGTGTCCTGTTGACTTGTTTTTATACAAATTAAAACCTAGGGTTACTTCCCGACAGAATCTATGGTATTGTCTTCCTGATTGCAGTGGCATTTCTCTCTTTACGTGGTTCACTGAATGAATTTCCGACCGGTCTAATTTAGAGTGTATCTGATTTTTACGACCAGATTTAACTATCTTCCCTCATTCTTCTATTTAACAGACGAACTATCGCAATTCAAACGGAACGCCTGACTCGTGCCGCTTCATGGGATGGATAACAACCGAAACCAGCCTAGCTTTGAATTTCAAGGCGGAGCAGTTCAACTTACAAATTTAAGCATTCCAAATTACGTTATAACGGCTTGTTTTATTCAAACTCAAATATACTCCCATAATACTCGCGTTTTTTTGCTTCTTGATGACAGATTCGACAACCTGCTTCGGAAAATGGAATTCTGGTGATGCTCATCTCACCTAAAAGTTGTATCACAAGAGTACCTTTTCCGTAACTCAATCAGTTGTTCAATCATCGTTATCTCCCTGTAACTCTGCTACATTGCTCAGCCATGCCACATGCTTTCTGAACTTTAAGAGTAAAATTCAGTTTTGCATTTTTCTTTTCAGCTGACTAGGAACCACCGAAATTATCTTTGACCCCGGAGCGATATTTTTGGATGACGGTAAAAACAAGTGTATCAAATGCAACCTTGAATAACACTTAGTCACTATGCCCTGAGTTGGCCGATATCTTTGCTTTATCATTGTATTTCGGCATTTGAACAATAAAGTGCTCTGACAATGGGCATATTCCGGGTAGCTCACCGACTAATCCCAGTCACGTATGAGCAAGTAGAGTGATCCAGTATGTCTGGTTAATTCATTAAACCCCTTTATGTGACAGTAACTTGAAAGCGGTGGTCACCGGACGAATCCAGGCCGCTGGTGTAGGGCATCTTTGTTGTGGTGATTTTTTTGGGTAACAGGTCAGCACCAAGTGACACGAGAACCTGTTCCGAACCTGTGCCTTATACTCAGGGTTGGTTAGAACTGGAACGGAAAACAAGTCTGATTTCATCGAAGGGAGATTTTCTTATTAGGAATTCATTTCTGCAGTATCTCCTTCAATATTTAAACGAAGAATTATGTACAATTTGTTTACGGTATGCTTATCCGTTTGTGGATTTCCGGATGTCAGTTTGTTGTCATCTGTGATACTGATTTCACAACTTTCAAGACACAGAAACCTCGTCACATTGCTTATGCATATGGCCTAACCAAAAGATAGGCATCGATTCACGCTGTTCTAGAT